AGGGTCAGCTTGAGGACAATAGAGTGTATTGTTGTTGAAATGCATAAATCGCATTATATTCTCATATCTATGCCTGGCCATGGCAGCAGAAAACACGGGAATATGATGAATCGGGTCTGTGGACCAATACAACCACAGTTCATTTTTTTTTTTTTTAATAATAATGCCCATGTTGAGAGTTAGGCCCAAAAAAACTTAAAATTTCGGAAACAGTAATAGATTTCTATGCAAATGGTCTGGCAAGGTTTGAATTTGGGTTGGCGGTGATAAATTGTTGTGCATATAAATTGCTTTGATCCACAACCAATGCATACAAATCTTCCGTGAAAAACAGCTCCAAAAATTCAAGGGGAGTAATTAAACTTGCTGTTTCCACCTGAATTCTGGGTCGGGCAGTGAATGGGGGGAAGTACTGGTGCCTTACGTTGGACATTTTGGCCTCTAAATTTATAGGTAACTAGTGCGACTCACAGGAAAAAGAGCACCTGGCTGTCAGGGACTGCTTGAACTGCTACAAAAAATGTTTTTCCCTACAAGTGCCAGCAGAGATCAGGCCTGATTCTGCGAACACTGCAGTTTTGCGGTCATCTACTGACAGTGCACTTACTGGGGGAGAAGGGGAGGGGTTAAGCGTAGGGTCTAAACGCAGGTGCTAGCAGGTGCAGGGTCTGCTCCTGCGTTTTTGGGGACACTATACTATTGTGCTAGTATAGTGCTGATCGGATCAAAGATATTGATCCGTTCAGACACTATACTAGCAATGTAGGTATACTGTGTATGTGAGCGTGTTCCGGGCAATCAAGGGGTTAAATGTGATGACTGATGTAGTAGGAGGCAATCTGACGATATCTGGGAGGGACAGCTGTGATTTTACTATAACATTGTGCTGTTTTTATTCACATATATCTGCTTTCTTCTCTCTCTGAAACAGAATGTGCCCAGGGAGAGAAGATTACATAATTTCCTGTACCTCTGTAAATGTAAACACAGGTACGGGATAATGTCTGATAGGGCAGGGATCAATCAACATATCCAGCCCAAACATCACTGGCCTGAATCTGTTGGCTGATCTCTTGGGCACCGAATCACAGCACCGCTGAGTCATTGGGCGCGCTCGCCCACGATCACGGCGGGAGCGTGAATCACGTATATATACACGTGATTTTGCGCAGAGTCCGCCCTGTAGCAGTATTAACTGACAATTGCACGGTCATGCAATGCTGTAACCAAATTAAATTTTTGTCCTTTTGTTCCCCACAAATAGAGCTTTCTTTCAGTGGTACAACAATTTTGAAAAAAAAAAAAATTATATATATATATATATATATTTTTATTTTTTTTTTTTTACCTTTTTGCTATAAAACATTCAGTAAAAAAAAAAAAATTTTCTTTTTAAATCAAATTTTGTCATAAATTTAGGCCAAAATGTAATATGCTACATGTCTGCTAAAAAGAATCCCAATACGTGTAAATGTATTTATGTGAAAGATATAGCGTCTACAAATGGGCGTATATATACTGGAATTTTTTTTTTTTACACTAGTAATGGCGGCGATCAGTAACTTACAGTGGGGACTGCGGCGGACATTCTGACACTGGGGAAACTGACTGCCACTGACATCCCAATGACACTAATATAGTGATCAAAGCTAATAAAAAGCCCTATAAATGAAGGGTGCAGCGCTACAATTGAAAACATGATATCACATACAATGTAAACATATGATGTATATATACCTGTAATTTTTTTTAAAAATGCAAATAAACAAATCATGTGACTTCAATGTGTCAATTCATATGTGTCACTATGCGTGACCAAAGAAGTGCATAACTAAAGTGCAAAAAAATCTCCATATAAAGAGTATATGCGTTATTCATGATCACACCTGCTTATATAGTGATAAAGAAAACATATAGTGCGCAGTCTTTATAGTTTTGAATACACCATCACTTACTGGATGACAATACCAGTTGTCGGAAATCCTTGAGATCTTCCATGCACCTTATATACTTGAATTGATTCACGTTCAACTTTGGACTATGTTTTCTTTATCACTATATACGCACGTGTGGTCATGAAGGAGTAACGCATATACTCTTTAGATGGAGATTTTTTTTGCACTTTAGTTATGCACTTCTTTGGTCACGCATAGTGACACATATGGATTGAGACATTGAAGTCACGATTTATTTGCAGTTTATTATAAATTATATATACATCATATGTTTACATTGTATGCAATATCTCATATTTTCAATTTTAGCGCTGCACCCTTTATTTATATTGTCTTTTGGAGGTTATTTGGTGCCTATTGGTGTTCTAGCTGCTAAAGTGACTTTCAACGCTCGCTTATTTTTCTATGTTTTATAATAAAAAGCACTGACACTGTACTAATGGCACTGGGCATTACCATCTGTGGCGATCAAAGGGTTAACTGTGTGCTTTTTTTTTTTTTACTACGTAAACACGCTGCTGTGTTTTTTCTCTGCTTTGCAGAGAAGTACACAGCAGTATGTTACTACTGGCAGGAGAGAGAGACCTGTGTTTACACACAGGTCTCTCCCGTCACTGTTCCTCAGCGATCGCCGGATGTCAGCAGGGAATCTCTGGCCCGACCCAGTGATCGACATCTGTAGCCACCACTAGAGGCGCACGCCCCCTACCAGGAAATGCAAAATCACACACACGTGATTTTGCGCAGCCCTGACGCAGTATTTCTGCTATAGGGCAGCAGGGAAGCAGTTAAAAAACCCACTGACAGGTAGGGTCGTCATAACAGAAGAGACCCTAGAGGTCTCTTGTCATAAATGCCCCCTTGCCTGTAAGTGGGTAATGCGATCTAAGCCACACATGCACAGCACAGACTACATATATGGCGCGCTCCGCGAGCTGCTGCGTTGACTCCCGTGCGCATGGGTGGGAAGAAAGTCATCACAGCCTAGCCAATCAAGTTGCCGAATATTTGGAACCTGGAAGTAGAACCAAGTTAACATGGAGGCACCCAGGACTTTTTGGGAGCATGACAGCCCAGGGCTAGAGAGGTGTCCATTTGCAGGCAAGTCTCTCATAATGTACTAGTATGCAAAGCATACTGGCACATTCTGGCCTAAACCTGCAGGGGGCCCCATTGTTTCAGCTTCTCATAGAGACCGCTGTAACCGCTGTCGCGCCGCCCTATAGCAGAAATATTGCTACAGAGCGGCACGGGTGCACAAACCCACGTGTATATATGCGATGTTGCAGATCCGGGTAGGCTGCACGTGTGCCCTACCTGCCCTGCCATTCGCGGCCTAAGCTGTCAATCACTGGATCCCAGCCTGTGATTACTTGCCAGCACCCAGCAATCTCCAAGGATTTCCGATGGGAGAGACCTGTATGTAAAAAATACAGATCTCTCCCTTCAGCTCCTACATACTGCTTTGTATGGCTCTGTATAGCAGAGCCATACAAAGCAATGTGCTTACAGTGAAGCACACACACAGCCCACATTTTAAAACGGCACGGTTAACTCTTTGATTGCCCTACGTCAACTCCTTCCTGCCCAGTGCCAGTTATTAGCACTGATCACTGTATTAATGTCACTGGGAATGTCAGTGACACCAAGTCAGTTCCCCCCAGTGTCAGAATGCCAGAAGTAGCCCCGCTACAAGTCACCAATTGCCATTACTGGTAAAAAGAAAAAAAAGGTTTAAAATTCCAGTACATTTACCGCCATTTGCAAACGCTATAACTTTCACAAAAAACAGTTAATTTACATGTATTAGGATTTTTTTTTTTATCAAAGACATGTAGCAGAATACATTTTGGCCTAAATTTATGACAAAATTAGATTTTTTTTAGTTTTTTTTACTGGACATGTTTAATACCAAAAAATAAAAAAATTGTTTTTTTTCTCAAAATTGTCGGTCTTTTTTGTTTATAGCGCAAAAAACAAAAAGTGCACAGGTGATCAAAGCTCTATTTGTGGGCAGAAACAGGATGTAAATTGCACTTGGCTGCAGCCTTGCAAGACCGCGTAATTATCAGTTAACCACTTGCCCACTGGGCACTTATACCCCCTTCTTGCCCAGATCAATTTTCAGCGCTGTCGCACTTCGAATGACAATTGCGCAGTCACGCAAAACTGTACCCATATGAAATTTTTATCTTTTTTCACACAAATAGAGCTTTTTTTTGGTGGTAATCACCGCTGGATGTTTTTATTTGTTTCTATTATAAAATTTTGCAACCAGATAATTTTTTTCCTTCACTGATGTGCGTTGATGAGGCTGCACTGATAGGCAACAATGATGGGCGCAGATAGGTGGCACTGATGGACAGCACTGTTGGGCAAGATGGGTGGCACTGCTGGGCACTGATCATCAGTGCCGTTCACGTGGTAAAAGGTCATTGTGATTGGACTTTTACCACATTACATGATCAGCTGTGACACAGCGATCACGGAGATCACCAGGGGCGTGGGAGGGCATGTTCTGGGAGGACGTTATAGGACGCTCTCCCAGAACTGGACAACCATGCTGTAGCCGTCATTCGGCTATAGCGCGGTTGGCAAGTGGTTAAAGTAACACAGCGCCAAAAACGTCCTGGAAGGCAAGGAGGGTGAACCCTCTGTTGGATAAATGTTTAAACAGACCATTTACAGCACAAAACAAGTCCATGGAGGTTTCAAAGCTTCAACGTCCAACGGACTCTGTAGGCAGTTATTTTTTTCCTTGCTGCGCCTCTAATGTATGCCTATACTATGCTCTATCCTCATTTAAAAACAGCATCACTACGCAGTTAAGGAGCAGCAAAAACGCAGCAAAGTGATGTTTTTTTCGACCTGTGTGAGCAAGGCCACTGGCCGGCTGTACACCTACATAACGCAGCTTCCACACACAGGTAGCTACATCTTTCAGTCGGCTCTGATACATGGACACACCACCGTTCTCTCACAAATGCGGCTACCAAATTTCAACTCCATATTCTTTACGCATTCAAGCACACAAACGTGACTCACCATAAATCCTTTCACCTCCTGGTAGATATCGTTAAATTCTAACGTGTCAGCCATTGTGCGTCACACAACGCTCGCTTTCCTTCCCGCCACCGTAGTCAGCCGCCGGAAGTCACTTGCAAACACACAGCATACACTCGGCTCACCGTAACTAACGTCACTTCCCCTCTTGGTGCCCTATCACCTGAAACCGGCTAAGAGGGGGAAAGAGTTGTCGCTGCTGTGGAAGCGGCCATGTTGTTGGCTACTAGCGGGTGGGCTGAAAATGTGAAGTCCCTAGCTGAAAGCCACTCGTTCCATCGTATATAGTAGTGTACAGGGGTGGACTGACCATTTGGAAACTCGGGCACTGCCCGAGGGCCCGGGGTCAGTAGGGGGCCCCATGAGATGCCCCTGGTACTTTTTTCATAGGCTTTTTTGAGTTTGGGCAAGGACACAGGGGCCCCATGATCACCTATTGCCCGGGGGCCCCATGAGTTGCCAGTCCGCCCCTGGTAGTGTACATGCTTCTGCTGTACAGACTATAGTTACCAATCAAACAACATGTGCATGGAAAGCTGAGCTCACTACAAGCTTCATTACAGAGCTATTTCATAGTTACATAGTCTGGCTGATAAAAAGACAAAAGTCCATCCATATCAACCAGTAAAAAAAAAAAAAAAGTTATAATCCTATACAAAAAGCCCAGCAAAGCATAATCCAAATTGCTCCTGCAGGGGAAAAAATTCCTTCCTGATCCCCCAAGAGGCAATCAGATATTCCCTGGATCAACTTTACCTATAAATGTTAGGATCCAGTTATATTATGTGTATCCAAGAAGGAATCCAGGCCATTTTTAAAGCAATCCACTGAGCTGGCCAGAACCTACTCTTGAGGGAGTATATTCCACATTTTCACAGCTCTTACTGTGAAGAAACCTTTCCGTGTTTGGAGATTACATTTCTTTTCCTCCTGACGTAAAGAGTGCCCCTTGTCCTCTGTGATGACCTCAGGGTGAATAACTCTACACCAATGTTCACTATATGAACCACTGATGTATTTATACATGTTGATCATATCCCCCCTTGATGTCTTCTTCTCAAGAGAGAATAAATTCAGTTCCTCTAATGCCTCTTATCAGTTTGGTTGCTCTTCTCTGTACTTTCTCCAATCCCCCAATGTTATTTTTGTGAATTGGTACCCAAAACTGAACTGCATATTCCAGATGAGGTCTTACTAATGATTTGTAGCGGGGGAAATGATATCTCTCTCTCTGGAGTCTATACCTCTTTTTAAACAAGAGAGGATTTTGCTCGCTTTAGAAGCTTGGCATTGCATGCCATTATTAAGCTTGTGATCTACCAGAACTCCCAGATCCTTCTCCACCATTGATTCCCTCAGTTGTAAACCCCCCCCCCCCAGTATGTATGATGCATGCATATTCTTAGCCCCCAAGTGCATAACCTTACCTTTATCAACGTTAAACCTCATTTGCCACATAGTTGCCCAATTAAACAGTGCACTGAGGTAGGCTTGTAAGTTGAAGACATCCTGTGAGGACGTTATTCCACTGCACAGCTTGGTGTCATCTGCAAAGACTGAAATGGGATTTTTAGTCTCAGACCCTATATTGTTTATAAATATATTAGAAAGTAAGGGTCCCGACACTGAACATTGGGGTACACCCAGGGGCGGGCTGACAACTCATGGGGCCCCCGGGCAATAGGGGATCATGGGGCCCCTGTGTCCTTGCCCAAACTCATAAAAGCCTATGAAAAAGGTACCAGGGGCATCTTATGGGGCCCCCTACTGACCCCGGGCCCTTGGGCAGTGCCCTAGTTTCCAAATGGTCGGTCCGTCCCTGGGTACACCACTGACAACCCTAGACCATGCAGAGTATGAATAATTAACCACTACCCTCTGAATACAATCTTTTAGCCAGTTTTCTAACCATTTACATAGAGATTTTTCCAAGCCTGTAGACTTTACCTTACACATTAGCCATGTGTGGGGCACTGTGTCAAACACTTTTGCAAAATCCAAGTATACCACGTCTGTCACAATCGCGGCGTCAGACCCCAGACCTTCTCACCAAACTTGTGACCGAAGGCTGATCTGAAACCGCGATGTCACGTGTGTAACAATGCCACACCCAGCAACACCCCGCCCAACAATTTTCCAGCTAATTGGACCACAATCGATGTACCGGCAGCCTGAATCGATTGTTACTGGGTCAGGTTAATTACGCAATTAACCCTTCACACTGCCACCACCTCCTTTTTGTACAGAGAAAGAGGAAACTCGGCGATATCAGCTAAAACACTATAATGGTTGAGATAATTGTCTGCATAATACAGTCACTGCAGGCCTATTATGCAGAGGGTTAAACAAACACAGTAGCGTTCTCTTTAGAGGCAGGAATTCGTAAATTGCAATAAAGCGATATAGAAACAGTTCAACACTTTCAGAAGGAAAGATTTATTACTAAAAGATAAAACGGGTGCAATAAAAATATTTACAGAAAAGAGGTAACTAAGATATATATATAAACATACAGAGACCAACAGCACAGCAAAGAGATATCAGAGAGAGGTGAAAGGGTTAAGGTACTTGCCAAAGTCCTGGGATAGCAGATCCAAGTTTCAGAGCGAAAGGGCACTGGTCTCCCCAGGTGGTATTGATGTTAAAACTTACTCTTCTTAGGCCTGACAGCCTAATTTGTAGTTCCCCAGCAGGGGGTGTCTCTGAAGTCAAGGACCAATACCCCGTTTAGGCATGTAGGTATGGGCGGATACCTCAACTAGAGCCAAAATCTCCCGTAACTCATATTTTGGCCCTTAACTTTCCATCTGCACAAGTGACGTTCCACCCGCGGGTAGATTATTATGCAGACACGTCTGAGATTTGATTAGATATGAATTATGAAATTATACACTGTACGGTTCACGAGATCTACTTTTCTGTTTTCCTATGTATTCGAGACAATGCAAGTGACCTACCAAACTGTTCGCCTTCTCATGGCCAATCTGACGATATGCCCGGTTTTTATGTAAGTCTCTTATATTCCAAGATATGAGACATAGGGGAAAAATGGATTTTAACAAAGGTTATCTGATTCTGTCACCTACGCTGAGTTAGGTTTATTAGGTTGGAATCTCTTTCAACTCCTGGGAAAGCTTGCCTTATCTCTTCTGAGGTGTTACAATTTGCAGGTTCTTTGGACAGGGAGGCCCCGGCTCCCTTGGGGGGCTTTATAGCTCATATGACCCTCCTGTGACATTCCTAACACACATATACTGGCCAAATGTCGCTGGGCCTCTCAGAGAGGGAGGGGGGAAGAATGAGGGAGAAATATATTTGTCAGGATGTTTAATCCCTTTGCCAAGATGGAGGTTGAAGCCAAAATGGTTGAACCACGTCCATCTCTGGGTATATGCTGTTACAACGTCCACCGCCACCCCTCTGTCCAAAGTTTTGCTCACCTCCTCATAAAAAGAAATCAGATTTGTTTGACAACTTCTGTCTTTCATGAATCCATGCTGTCTGTTGCTTAAAATATTATCTTCAGCAAGAACTCATCGATGTGGTCTTTTATTAAACTCTCCAGTATCTTCCCAACTATAGAAGGTGAACTAACAGGTCTATAATTACTTGGTAACGATTTTGACCCCTTTTTAAATATTGGCATCACATTGGCTTTACGCCAATCCAGTGGCACTATGCCAGTCATTAAAGAGTCCCTAAAAATTAGAAACAATGGTTTTGAAATGACAGAGTTCAATTCTTTAAGGACACATGGGTGTATGCCATCTGGTCCAGGTACTTTATTCACCTTTATTCTGTCTAAATATTTTTGGGTCATATCAATTGTGAGCCAATGTATATCATCTGGGGATGTGCCAGTACCATGCCCATTATGAACCAAATGCGATATCTCCTGCGCTCCGGGACCCAGACCGGTGGTAAGTAGATGGAATCAGACTCCAAAAAAGCAAGGAGGGGACCACCGAAATAGTTAAGGTCGTGCAGCTCCACATCAAGGCTGGGGAAGTCCAAACAGAACTGTGAGGAAGAACAAAAAAGAAAAAAGAAGCGCACCAACCTTGCGCATTACCTCAGTAACCAAAATTTATTAAATAAAAGAATGGTACTCACAAACAGCGAATAAAAACAGGCATGTCAGTCCTCAAAGGGACTTTAAAGGCAAGATGCAAATGCGAATCCCATCATGGAGGAAGCCACTCAGTACAGCTGACGCGTTTCGAAGGACAAGCCTTCTTCCTCAGAGCTGACTGGACTGAGAATGTGTGTTCCCTTTTATGCCTCCAGACTGAAATAAGGCCCTCCCCAATAGGTTGGGCTGTCCTGGGCAGGGAGGAGGGGCCCGGGTGTCCACAAAATGCAATAAAATAGTCATCAAGAGTTCATAGAACCATATAGATAATAAACTTCAAAAGTCGGATGAAAATATATAAAATGTATACACATATATGGAATCAATTAATACAAATAAAATCATTCATAAATACAGCTTATAAATGTATAAATAAACAATAAAATAAAGAAATATAAACAAATAAATAAATATAAATAAAATTTCACTAATTCATCCCTTCATTAGAAATATATATATATTGCCATAATTATCATCATTGCACTAACGATCAAAAATGCATACAATGAGTATAGGATAAATGAGGAACTCACACAACTGAATGAACCATTCATGGCCAGCGATTTCAAAATTGTTCCCACAAAGTGGGCAATATAGCCAAAGTTTTTTGCTAATAATGACAGCTGGAAGAAAAAGCTATATTGCTATAGAAATCTAAATTAAAAAAGAAGGTTTTTTGTGAACATGCATACATGCAATCCACCAGGGGATAACTCTTACAGATGGTGGGGAGGAGACAGTATATTCAGGAAAGATTCATATTACCTGTGTTTGTTATTGGTGGTGTGTGTTGTTTATTTGGCAGCAGAGGGAGATATTGCTTGCATGATGTGGTTGCAGATGGAATCTGCCTGTGAAACGCACGCCGATACGGCGTGGTAGTTACTGCGCGCATGCGCGGACC